AAGAAGAAGACGACATGACGAGATATATCGGAAGGTGCTCAAGATTCTGCTAGCAGATGTGTCGCATTCAGAGCTACGAGCTGTTACACAACCAGAAGGAAGGTGTCTCGGCCTTGAGATTTATTCAGAGCTGCGAGCTGTTACACAACCAGAAGGAAGGGGCTTAAAAGGCAAACTTTAGCAAGGAACTCATGAGATCTAGCTATGAAAGGGGCTAATCGAGGATCCCAAACATATACCATTTGGTTCAATGGATCTACAGAAACCAATCCATTGCAATTTCTATCTGGAATGAGAGAATATAACGACAGAAGTATGAATAACCAGATCAGGGAACGGAATCGCTATATTACCCACCTGCCTGATCATTTCAGAGCTCCAAACACACCGAGATGAATATAAAATAAGGATTAGCGAAACGATTCGCTGGGGAAGAGAACGAATAGGGTGGAAACCTTAAAAGTTCATTTAAAATTAATTTGGAGTGAAGTAGCTAGTTAGACTGAACTAAAAGTCCCTGTCACGTACTCGCTTCGTCCCGAAATTATTGTCCGTTTGGATTTTAATTTTTAGCATAAATTGAAATAAAAGTAAAAATTTAAATTGGACAATAATGTTGGGACGGGGGAGTATTATATAGAAAGTTGGGTAGACAATACTATAAAAAGAAATTTTTTATAAAAAAAAAAAAAAGTAAAAAGATTGCTTTTGGTAAGAAGCTGAATAATTAACATTATCAAACAGGTAAAATTAAACAATTTTTGAATTAATTAAGTTTAAGTACTTAATTATGTTATCAAACAGACCCTAAATATGGCTGGTGTTGGAGTTTATTGGCTTTCAAAATCCAAGTCTTGTGGGTCAAATATTTTTAATGGGACTCTATTATAGGCTAGAGGTAGTATAAATTATTAAATTTAATATGAATTTTTTTTTTTGGATGGATTCTTCGATGTTGATATTAGAATATAATTCATTCTCAATCAAAACTTAAGTCTACATTATGCACCCAAAAAAAATAAAAAGTCTACATTCCCTCACTAATTTTCCCCTTCTTTCTCTTTTTTCTTGGACATTTACTTTATGCATTTTGTCCCCCAAGAAAAAAGGTTAAATGGAAAATTTTAGTTTGTTTACGTTTTATTTATGTGGCTTTGTACTAGTTTCAGACGATTAATTGATGAGTGCGTTGATTGGTTTTAATAATCAAACAGACTAAAATTGGTACTAAAATTTTCTGGGCCTCAACTTAGAAAGAAAAGAAGTATACAACCGAGATTATTTTCCCAAGAAAACTAGAAAAGGGGCAATTTCAAATACCCCCAAGGTTGGACACACGCTACAAACCGAACCTTACATTTTGGCAATACCCTCCTTGATCGGCCCAGTCAGACCACACACGGTATTTTGACGGTGTATACGTACGAAACTCTTGGCGAATGTGATCTTCTATGCTCTTGTTGATCGATGTTGTTCGAGCATTTTTCCTTGTAGTACATATTACTCTCTTACCTAACTAGCTACATTTTTTGAGCAACTTTTCCTTTTTTCTGTGTGTAATAAATTTTGAGCAACTTAAACATACAACTTAAAAGTTAAAACTGCCAACAGAGGAGTAGGCCAATTGGTTGAGGCTTTGGCATCACACTTGGGAGACACAGGGTCAAATCCCACTAACAATACTTTCAGTGTTGAGTTTGTGCAGTTTTCAACTTACACCGTCAGGAGGCATGAGATTAAGGCTTTGTAATTGTAGGTAAAAAAACTTAAAATTTAAAACTCATTGCTAGAGCACATGTAAGTAATTCTCTTATAACAATCACTTTTCCTTCCCCTTTCACGTACCAACATACCGTGGCGTTATGAATGTATGCTAATTTTGAATGGACCACAAAGTACATGGTTACCATATTTAGCATACCTAATTGGGAATAAAAGAAAAAATTATAGAACTTAGCGTTTGAAGTCTCGGCTCCAGAGTACTCAAGTTAGTTATGCAAATTGAGCCAGCGGTAACTACATGAAGAACACCAGATTACTTCGTAAGATCAAAATTAACCACAGTGTCCACGGACGTTGAGTGCAGTGCAGTTTTAATCTAGCCGAAATTTACCACGGATCTACTCTTGAAGTTTGTGGTTTAATCAGTGGTTTCATTGTTGATGAATACATATATATATGTATATATATATATTGAGTCGAGCACATCAAAAACTAGTACTCCCTCCCGTCCTTAATATAAGGTATTTTAATTTGTTTTAAGTTTCACCTAGTATATATTTTTAATTGATAAAAAAAATTCGTAAAAATATATATTCACATCCTTTGTATTCTCTTGATTGTTATGAAATATTTTTAATTTTTTTTGTCAATTAAAAATGCGTACAAAGTAAAATTTAGGATAAATCAAAATGTTTTATATTAAGGACCGGAGGGAGTATATCTCTAATTATTTTTAGTATTATTAGATTCTTCCTAGTAAGGTTCAGGCGTACTTATGAGCTACATTCTTCCCACGAATATCTCATCATCCGATTTAAAGATTTATTAAGAGAATGTTGAGCTGATTTTTTATATTTCATTTTCAAGATCAGAAAATTTAATGTAGATCAGAAAATTCACTTTTAAGATTTAGGCAGAGCATGATTGCAAAATAACACAACCAAAAGAAAAAAAACAAAAGTAACAACTAAATTTAATGTATATACTAAATTTATGCTCTACACGATGAAAAACAAAGGCACATATACCAATTGGAACTATCTCCTTACAACTCAAAAAAAAAAAAGAAAACAACGGTCTTATTTATCTGTACATAAGTAAAAGGCTCTTAGTGAGTTTAGAATCTTGAACTCTATTGATCAGAAATTAAATTGAGCATTCTAATTGTTCCATTGGTTCGAATGACATCATCAATTTAAAATTGAGCCAATTGATTGGTTACTATATTAGTATGACATCAGCAATTTAAACGAGGTTACAACAGTCAATTAATATAGTTGTTTTTTTTTTTTTTTTGGCAACCAAAATATATTTTTTAGCAGACAAAACGACGACGTTTACCATCCAATGTTACCAAAATGTGGTTGGCTAAACGACATCGTTTACTCTTCCATGTATGTTAATTAAAATGTCATTTTTTGTGCCTATTTTGATTCACCGGTGGAGACTCGATTTTAAGAAGAAATCTTAACTAGAAGCTGAGGAGAAGACATGATGAGTTTTGCGAAGAAGAGGTTTGCAAAGACATGGGAGCGTCACTTTCTTATTTAAGAAGAGGTTTGCGAAGACGTATTACTCACAGGAAATACAAAAATTAAATTTTATACTATTACTTCTCCTTATTTGATGATCCCTTTCTTGGTATCTTTATGTGCACATATTGTATTGAATATCTTAATTACTCCTTTTTGTGGCCCACATGTTGTTGTCGTCGTGGTTAAACATAGGTTTTAAGGTATACAGACGAGGATGGTGGCGGTGTTGTGCTTCTTGCACTCGCTAGTTCTGAGAAGGAAAAGAAGAGTAATTGAGACACTGAATTGAACCATTTTCTCACTGGAATAAAAGTGGAACATATAGTTAACTATTTTCGAGTGGGATTAAAGAGGATATTTAGGCTTATATTAAAACTTTTAAATCCAGAACTTCCGCTCATACTATGAATAAAATTTGATGGTGAATGCTTGATCTTGCTGGAAACTTTAAGGGATGGTGCATCAATTTGTATCTTCTCTTTTTGTCCAGATTCATGTTCTTTAATTACATGATGACAGAACGTGGTGTTGAGAGTTATGTGGTAAGAATTTTGAATCTCACATCCGAGGCGTGAGGACATGTGAATCACTTAATAAAGTGGACTCAGAACTCATTAGCTTAAATTTTTTGATCCAGATGGGTCTTATCTTACTTATTGGACTCCATGTCGGATTTTCTCTCCTGGATAAATTCCCAACAGTAGTATCAAAGTCTAAGTTGGGCCAGTTGGGTGGGTGATTTAGCCCAAATTATCTCAGTTGATCTGACTGAACCCAAGCAGTCAAAGGACCACTACGAGCGGAAACGTAGAGATGGGCGGCCCAGTTACTCTGGTAGAGTACAGATTTAGGCTTGGTAAGATAATTTGGAAGCCAGATGTGGAGATTGTCTATGATGGAAGAGAATGCTGAGGGTCATGTGGCAAGGATTGTGAATCCCACATGGGAGGCATGGGGACATGTGAATCACTTAATAAGTAAGGTGGACTCAGAACCCATCAACTTGAACTTTTGGGTCCAGATGAGTCTTATCTTACTTATTAGGCTGCATGTCGGGTTTTGTCTCCCGGATAAATCTCCAACAGTTTGATTACCCGTGCTTCTTTCCTCAAATTAACAAATTAAGAACACTTAATACACTTTGTTTGAAAAAAAGAAAAGAAAAACTTTAATGCATTATACTCAATGTTTTGCTCAACTCTAACTAGAACAACTATTTTAAACAAGAAGATATAAAAGAATTTAAACTTAGGTGAGTCCTGTTTCAATTGGAAATGCATTCGATTAATGAGACCTTTCTTTAAAATTGTTGTTTTACTTGTGAACAGGAATGAAACTTGTGCTTATAACACGATAGTAACTATATTTTGGTGGATAGAGGAAAGCTTCAAGGAGTTGTAACGTTTTTGGCTTACAGATTAGTCTTCTGATTTAGTGGAATACTATTATGTATTTTGTTTTTAGTCGGTTAGATTATTTCCTTTGTAGTCAATTAGATTTTTTTTTTGTTTATTGGAAAACTGCCCCATTTTTTCATTTTTGCTATCCTTTTCTATTAAATTTCTATGTTCTTTTAGTTACGAATAGTTACAATCACTAAATAATCATTGTCCTTTCCCGCATAGAAGTCAGAACTAGTTGCGCGTAGCGCGACGAAAATAGAACTAGTAATTGCAATAAACTTTTATTTACATTAGATACGGGAAAAAAAAAAAAATTTACAAGCAACTACAACGTGAGAAATCAGCTCCGACAAGGACTACCCAAGAAGTGATTGCTATGAGGAGCTATCCGGCAAAGGAATTCACTCAGCGCCGAAGGGTTGTTCTTGAATTTGGGAACCTTTTCCAGGGCTTTAACATAGTAACTAGGCAAGTAACCATGCGTGGAACGATACACGTAAACCATCCGAAAGATGTCCTTACAAATAATCGAATCCACCAAGCTCACCGGCCTTTTATCTGACAACGTTGCAAGATATTGTGCCGGTGCCTCTGCGGGTGCCGGAGATAGATGGTCGAAAGCCATGGTTACACACCTCTCCAATGTATCTTCAACTCCCAATGGTAGTGATGGTTGCAACAGGGCTATCTTTGGTGTGATAATTTGTCTAGTGCTGTCCTTGACGGCTGACCAATTTGTTACAAACAAAAATATCGTGACGGCTACCAGAAGGAAGCCTACGAATCTTAAAGATTTTGATGCCATTTTGATTATTTGAACAATTCACGATGATGGAAATTTGACAAGTTTCTCTAGCCGGCCTCTTAATTCTTGAGCGAATTAACGATTTGTTCTTAATTTCTATGCATATTTATAGTGTTGCATAAACGAACAAATCCGAATCCAAGTACTAGTTAAATTATACATTTCCTCTAATCCAAATAGGATTTGTGAAAACTTCATCCTTCTCAACAGGAATTGAAGGGGACTCACCAGCAAAGTCCACGTGGCTGGTACCATAACTTTTGATGGATTGCGAAATTGCCAATTTCATTTAATTCGAGCATTTTGCAACTCAATTCGATCAAATATCTTAAAGGAAACAAAAAACCCTTCTTTAATTTTATATCCTATTAAACCCGTCTCCATTCATGTTTTACAAATAATAAAGATAATGTGGCATGTTTTACACAGACCCAATGCCGAATTCCATCTAAAGTGCGTGGTAAGTTGTTGATCGTTGATGGTGGCTGTGATGACCCCAATGCTTGAGAATATACACCCTGCAAGAACAGTTTGAAACACGTGTAGCAAGGAACTCAAGGGAGCTAAAGGTACCAATTCCTGGATCCGCGCTGCGAGGGATCGTTCCAGATATATATCAGTTGGTCCAATAAATCCGTCTGGAGTGGAAACAAGAAAAAAGAAACCAAGCAGATTTGATTAGGATCACGAAGATTGTCAGTTTCGCCGACCCGGAATTCAAATGGTTCGTGTATTGTGGAAGATTAATTAGAACGGTTGAGCAGCTCAGCTCCATAGATCGCAATTTCTGCCTGGAATGAAAGAATATAACGGTTTTTGTATGAACTAGCAGAGCAGAGGGAATCACGGCATTTTGTAATGGTTTTGAGTTTGTATTTGTGAGTTTTTAAAGAACTTAGAAACAAAGGAAGATTGAAGAAGATCTAAGGTCAGCAAAACGATGAGCACCGGAGAGGGGGAGAGATAGAAAGTTCAGAAAAAACAAAGGAAGATTTTTTTGTTTTGCAAAATTTGAGTTGCGGCCATGTGTATGAAGAGTTTTGAAAGATGTAGCTATAACTAAGGGTGTTCACGGTTTGGCTCAATCCGGTGGAACCGTCCAAACTGGTCATTGGTTTGGATTAGCGAGCAGATTGTAAGTGAATTTTTAATTCGATGGATTTGAAATTTGAAAACCGGTCATAGCGGTCCGGATTACGATTTGGCACTGTCTAACCGTCTGTCAAACCGGACCGGACCGTATATATATTATTAAATAATAATATAACGATTTTGTATATAGCTGTGGATGATGACTTATAACAAAATTGTAAGTTGTCTGATTGGCTTTGTTTTTCACTTCTTTTTCTCCCAAACCAAGCCCCTAAAAAAGGCCAAAAAAAGGTCAAATAACAAAAAAAATGTTCAATTTTTTTGTCCAAAACGAAAAAGCCCAATTGGAAATCGAAACTGCCAATCCGTCCAAATCAATCCGTCCAAACCAATCCGTTCATAACGGATTGGATTGGTCAAGTTTAAACATCAAACCGGTCCAGTTACGATTTTTCTCCCAAACCAAGCCCCTAAAAAAGGCCAAAAAAAGGTCCAATAACAAAAAAAAAATGTTCCATTTTTTGCCCAAAATGGAAAAGCCCATTTAAAAACCCAAACCGCCAATCCGGCCAAACCAATCCATTCATAATAGATTGGATTGGTCCGGTTTAAACATCAAACCGGTCCGATTATGGTTTAAAAATTTTAAAATCGTAGTGAACGGTGTCAGCTACGGGACTTAATCGGAAGAAGAGAAGGCCTAAGGGAGGGTGGCCGGAGGGAGAATATAACCGGAGATCGGAAGAAGTTTCCAGATGAGAGGGGAATCGTGAAGAAGAAGAATGATTTCATTAATTTCCAAAAATTGTCTATTACATCATTATTACAGCTATTAATAGCTGTAAATCATCGCCGAAATCATTAGCTAATAATTGCTAATCATCACTACATTTATTACAAATACAAATCCAACCCTAACCACAATCTGGAATCAGCTAATTAACCCAACAGTTTAGAGTTGTTACAATTAAACCCCTGATACGTGACAAATGGTTTGATTACGAATTATTATCAATCCGGACCCGAGTCTGTGAACACCCCTAGTTATAACCCAGATTCCTGCTCTACTTATAAAGACTGCATCTCGTAATTAATTCAAGAACGGAGGTCTATTTTCCTAGTAGATTTTATCGATTTTTGTTTTTTCATTCTTTTAGAAAAACATCTAGGCAATTTACAAGGAGTTCGAACGAAGGAGACAGGGGACTTCAACAGTGCGTCTCTCCATTAAAAGAATACTTATTCAAAGTAATTGGTTGAGTTTTTACTAGGTTGAATTGTTTAGAAGATTAGTTTTTCTCAAGGCAATTTTCTTGAGAAAGGTTTACATAATATATATAGACAGCCTCTGAATTAAACAGTATCAAAATAAAATTTTACTATATGAAAGCCAATTTGTATACAATTCTGACTTATACTAACTTTTTAACTGTCATACACGGCTTAGTATAATAGTATTCAAGGTTATTGTCCTTCAAGTATTAAGTGATTCAAACAGAGAGATTATTGTAAGGCCAAAGTGGACAACGATACAGCTCTAGTGTAGGCAAGAGGTAACGTCAGAAACTTCTTGGTTCTCTTTACATAGGCTCTCTTGGTCAAGTTATCGTAGTCATTCTCCTCTATTGCATCCAATATTTGCCTATATATCATCAGGGATGACCAGACCTGCAACAAAACATTCATCTTTAGAACTCAGTAAAATGTTTAATATGATGATGCATAACGCGAAACAATGCAGTAAATTATTCATATATGATTGTTCAAAATGGATCTTTCCTTTTTGAGTGAAAGGTTTCATGAACATTTTGATCCATAAATCTTACCGGCCAACGGCTAGCCTTGTCAAGTTGAGAGGCTCCTTCTTCGGCTTGATTAAAGTAGAACCTAGCACGACTAATCTGCTTTTTCATGAACTCCCTCCATCCATCAGTGACCTTCCTTGAGTACACATCCTCATCACATAATCCGAATTGAGCGAGTTCATCTTGGGGAAGATAAACTCTTCCTCTTTGTGCACTAGAAATGAAAAATGAATATTCCAAAGCCAGAATTAGGAACATATCAATATATCAAAACCTGCATGTTGCTGCTAGTAGAATTAGGTCAGAAAACTTACTCCTCTCCTACATCTCTCAGAATGTTGGTCAGTTGATTTCCAATGCCTAGATATACTGCCGCGTCATAGATGCTTTGTGAAGACACTGCTGATTCTGGTGCAATTCCCATGACTGGAACACTCATTAGGCCAACAGTGCCGGCTACATAGTAGCAATAGAGGCAGAGTTCCTCAAAATTCTCATATCGGCTTTTCCATGTATCCATCCTCATCCCTTCAATCATGTCTTTGAATGGCTGCAATAAATGAAAAAGAAAGAAACCACTGAGTAAAATATTGAATTTCCATAAAAACTATGAATCCTGATCAGACATCAATGAAACAGAACAAAAGGTTGTATCTTCTGCTGAATAGTCAAGTTTACCTTGATGTCTAAAGGGAACTTGGATACTGTATCTGCAAGTGCAGCATCAAGCATGTCATAAGGCCGGCCTCTGAAAATGTCTTCTGTTCTCTCTTCCCACCGGTCAAGAGCAGTAGAGCTTATGTAGTCAGCATTCGGGCCGTCAACCAGTTCATCAGTTCTCCTGCACCAGACTGCAAAGCAGCAGTTTAATAACTACAATTCATCAGGGCATATACATATTTTCTTAGTCATTTGAGCTGCAGATTCTAATTGATTTAATTGGTTTTTTCACTTCGCTATCCATTTCTGTAGCGTGAGCTAGTTTTTTTTATGAAATCAACTGCTACTTTGTCTTAAAAACAGAATGGTTGGACTCAAGATAAGAGCGCATACCATAGATAGCCCAAATCGCTCGTTGTCGCTCTTCAGTCATTAGTCTTGTGCCTGCATCATAATCAGTTGATTGTATGAGCATATCATGCAACATTGTGGCAACAGTATATGATGATGATGAGGTCGGCAGGAGCAAAAATTTTGCGAAAATATGTAAAATAAATGTGAAATTTGTGGATGATCTAATGGACAATCGAAGAAGCAACAAAACTGATTAACTTCACATGTGATGCAAAGGGATGTCAATTTTCTATCAAAGAAAGGGAAACTTCTGAATGCACCTAAGTAGAACGTTTTCGCATATTCAGCACAAATGATCTGGCATCTCTGGTACGCTTCTTCAAGAAACATGGGATTGAAGTTCACTTTTCTGAGAGAACCCTTTCTGAAGAAGCCATTTGTCTGTGACTGCTTCTTGACAATCTCGGATATATGGAAATCATCCCGCGGAATCCCCTGAATTGTCAGCTCTGGAAAAACGCGTTCGCCCCGCTTAGGATCAGCTATAAGTACTTCTGCTCTTATACTGTTTGATCTTGTACACTTTTGAGGCAAGAAACTGCCTATATTTCCAATTTCATAGGATGGTTTAACTCCAAAACAAGCTGCAGGACACATTTTGGAAACTTCAAAAGGAAGTGTAAAGGTAGGACTCTGAAGAAATCCCAATCCGAACATCAGAGTAGAAATGTTAACTGATCTGTTTATTCTAACTTCTGGGCATGAATCTGGGAAATGGGAAACCTTATATAATCGTTATGAAACACTTGTCAAACTATGATGATCTCAAGGAAAGAAAAGGAAAAAGGCCAGTATGAAGAATAAACCAACATAAAAGTTGTGCATAAATAGGTGCAATCCACAGATTCTGAAGATTGATGAGTACTTGGTTTATTATAGTGGTTGTGAATAACGTAGCATTGTTTTGATTGGTTTGTTAAACTAGAAGAAGAAAACGACTTATGATGGAGATGACGAGTTAATCTACTAAATGACCAACGACTAGAATAATGATTCAGTAATTAATGTGACACACATAAAAAGATACAATCACTTTGTATTACTAAATTACGTGTCAATTAATTAAATTCAATTGATTGCTTGCATTGCCTGCAACTCAGTAAACAATCTAACTCCGAAAAGGGAAATTTTGGAGCTAAGAGTTGATAAGAAAGCATCATGGATTTGGGACAAAAGATGCTGATATTTTCTATTTCGGAAGAATACAAATTGTTGACCAATGGTTTTGAGCGCATTCGTCTTCTTGTGAAACTAATTTGAGGATCTTGGGTTGTCTTGGATACCTTTTTCAAAATGATAAATTTTCTTGTGGGGATTTATTATAGTTGTGAACGTCATCAATGATCCAAAAATGCCAAGTGGAGGATTAATTGACGATTAATTTTACTTTAAAATCACATAATTGGGATTATTATTAGGCTCTATACATCTTGGCGATTATATTGTCTAACATCATTAGTCCATATTATGAAGTTTAGATTCTTTGATTAAGTGCTAAAGAGCAGACGTATACTCCCAAATAGGTACTCCCTAGCGACCACTTTATGGAGAAGGTTCATTTTCAGTCTCAAAATATGTTTTAACAAAATAAATTTTTTCGTTTCAGAAAGTATCGGTCAATCATGTCAAAATCATCTTAAATTATTCTAATTTCTAACTTATTGAGAAATTATTCAGTGCAGCTGTTGTACCACGTAAGATTGTGCAGCCAGACACAATAATAGGGTAAAGTAGTAATTTTGGGAAGAGAGAGATAATTTCTACGGGAGTTATACCACCAAAATAAAGAGTGCTAGTACTTGCTGTACTAAAAACCAGGATACAGCAGTTGTACCCAATAATGTTTCTAACTTATTGCCATTGAGTAACTATTGAGAGTTTCAATAACATTATACTATGAAGAATACGTTCTTCCAAGAGAAAATCAGACTTCTGCACATCTTAATTTGTATTGTATTTATAACCCTATTCCCAAAAAGTTTTACAACTTGCGTTTGTAGTCCAACGGTTAGGATAATTGCCTTCCAAGCAATAGACCCGGGTTCGACTCCCGGCAAACGCATTCCTACTTATAATTTTTTAATCCTTTTGTGATCTCCTCAAACTTGATTGCCTGTAAATCTGTTATGCAATTTATACATTTCATGCGGCTATCATTTTCTTTCAGTCCAAAGTCCAAACAGAAGTAGAACTGGATTTGTCTCATGTTCCTCGAAATCCTCAACAACCACATCATGCCGAATTCCACATTACACTTACTCATGTCCACATTATCGCAATGCTGATCGGTGTGATGCAGATCTTGTTGCGGACAATAAGATGAAATTTTACTTGTAAAGACACCTAAAGAGTTAAAAGGAGCAATCTCTTTTGGAAGCGACTGCAGAAATAGTATATAATCTGTATGCGCATGTTCGAATTTTCCAGAAGTGGAAAGATAACTCCAATCAGTTTGGTTAAGTATACAAAGATGGGTATGTCCTAAATGTTTGGTTTGTACAATATCATATACATGAAATGTTCACAAGATGCAAATGTCTCAATTGTCATCCCTTGTACCTATTTGCATTGGGTTGAATGCGGCCAATAGTACAGAAACCTTACACATCAGGAAACCAAGCATCCCAAAAATGAGATCATTTGGTGTTAGAACCCTCCCGGTTAACTCTCCTGATGAAAATTTTGCAGCGATAGCTGCAAATACAACTCCTAATGCTATGGTTGACAAAGGACCCTTGAATTTCCCTAATATATAATCAGAGTTCTCTGTCCTATCAGATGGAAGTAACTCCGGAGCCGGTAATCCATCAACTGATCGTTGTAACAAGAACAAATATAACAAACCTCCCATACCACCAGTTAAGAATGCTAAGGCTCCCCTTTCTCCAGATGAGATCGAAGCTATTGATGAGCCGCCAAGGATAAGCAGTGCATCATAAAGAAACAATGAGAATTTCAGGTTCGCATATTCCATCATGCTTTCGTCACCAGATATGTTTTGATTAGCCGGTGAGGATGGATTTAAAGTTTGTACATCTAACCAGCCAAAGCCTGTCTCCGAAAAGTCAGTTATCAGACGTGGTCTAAGTTCTAACATGGATATGTCGCTTCCTTCACCAAGTAATGTTTCTCCAATGTCAAAATCACACTGAAAGCCAGTGAGCTGTCCAGCTTCTTCGTCGGCTTCTACTGATGGAGATTGACGCCGAGAGAAAACAGTTAAACTCAGATTTCCAAATCTCCACTGACCTGCCAAAAACAACAGAAAGATTAAAACTGACCAGGTAAAAGCCAAATCAGACATCAAATTTTTGGACTATCGTGCAACAGCTAAGAAAGAAAAGTAACTTTCCCACATCAAATGCAAGAAAAGAAAATTCTAATAATTGAATGAAATCTACAATATGAAGAATCTCAGAGCGGCTAAGAGGATAATACCTAGAACATTGAGACACGAAGTTTGGAATTTATGAAGGACTATTGTATTGAGATTTTGACAGCATTAACAAGATGTCAACAGCATTTGTATAAAGAAATTTCAGGTTAGAGTCCTCAAGGACCAAGCAATTCCATGCTTTTCCAGACGTTGAGAGCTTAGAGCTTCTAGTTAGCAGCCTTGAATACATGAAATATGCAGATGACACAGATTTATTCAATAAGACAAGAGAACTAGTAAACTCTATGTAAGAAGCTCAGAGATGATATAGAATTTAAGCATACCATAGGTTGAGTTAAAGTTGAAACAGGACATATGAAATAAGACTCAACCACAGATAAGAGTCAAAATTTGAAACACAACCTATTACCTGATTCTAGGCCGATCCAAACAGCTGCAATCTTCCCAAGAGATGGACCCTCAAAAATGAACTCATCAATATTGCTTCGCTGAAAATTGAGAAGTCCTAAATTCTCCCTGTCCTCTGACATTAGAGAGCGATCTTTTCCCAGAGAAGCAGGTATCCTTTGCAAGATTGAGTTACCATTTTCATCTATCAAACAAAGAAGCACTCCAGAGCTGGGATCAGTTAAGCCGGACCCATACATGCCACTAGTTTGTATTCTGACTTTGTATAAGCATTCACATTTTTGCACCTTAAAAAGATTGCTAATTTGTTCTAACGAGGAAGGCCTGTAAATCTTCACCTCCGAAGCACACCAAAGTTCTTTAGGTTTTGCATAACTCCGAAAATCTGAAACAACAAATAAGAATTGGCATTGTGACTATCTAACAATTGATCTAAAAACAACTCATCATCAGGGAAAACAACAAAAGAAAAGCATTGACTTGGTTCTTTTCTTGCACCAGCACTAATGTTTGTATAATGGATCTGTCCCTATTGTGGAGTCCATTGTGTAACAGGCTTTCTACAATTACATCAAGAAGTAATTATTATCTCCCTTGGTAGCATCCTTTTCCATCTAAAATTTCCCCTATAGTCCCATCCTCATATATTACAGATTAAACATTAAATTAATCCTGGAAGTAAGCATATCCCTTTCTAGAATCAGCCTAGAGAAAATCCTTCGATCATCAAATAGGAAAGTTATGCCCCTCCAGCATTCCTACTGACGACTTCGAACAATTATACCATACATGCCCTGCCCCTTTTCCTAATATTCTTCTATTCAAAAGGTATTCCTCGAGAACAAAACTAAGATTAAACAAAAGCCGGATTCCAAAAACGTACTTATTCATTTAACCGAAAACAAAAAATTCGAATTGCCCATTAAATTAATGAAAGAACTCCGGCCAAAAAAAAAGGAAAGAAATGATATAAAAAACTGTACCTTGAAGGTCCCATTTCTTAGAACAAAGAACCACAGAAAGATGTCGACGATTGATGCCAATCTTTGTGAAACGAGTTGGGTTCAGGGGATACTTCACTGGGAATAAAGCATAAGCTGTAGAAATCGCATGCCTTAGAGAAATGGATTCCATCGTCAATAAAGGAAACAATAAACTAAAACTAGCCCAGTTGCAGGTTTAAAGACCTCGAAACTGAAATCAGTCTATACAAGAACGAAGAATCAAAGGTTCAATTCAATCATTCAGAACTCCATACTCAATTACAATCTACCAGGAAAAGAAACTGAAAAAGAGGACACATGTTAAGTTATGAACAACGTTTGTTAATTCTCTGGTTTGTAGCTGATTTTTTCTTTCGGCCCTATTACCACCGATTTTTATTAAAATCGAGTCCGCCCAACAAAAATGGTGAATCGGCCCAATTACAGAAGAAGTACACATCCAACGAGGGAAGAGGAGAATTCATGTCCAAATCGGAAAAAAAAGACCTGTCGAAAACCCACCCTAGCGCAAGAGAAAAATCAAATCTAAGTCCAAGAAAAATTACGATTGTTACAAGAAACAAGGAATCAGAAATAAAAGTCAATTGTGATTCTAAATCGCGAATACCGAATTCAAGTAGGAATCGGAGATCGCACCGCCTCAACGATTACCGAGCCATATATAAAGAGAAAGAATAGAGCGACACAAGGGACAACTCATCATCAACACAGACAAAAGCACAAGCTGCAAAATTCTTATCTTTCTTTTCAAGTACTTTTCACAAGTCTTTTTGTTTAATTTACTCATTGTATTTCGTTTAAGTTCAGCAATTTATCAACAATTCAGTTTCATTCAAGTTATTATAAGTTTTATCCCCTTTTTTCTTCACACGTAGCCGAATATTGCATCTCACGAATTATATACTTTCGTCTGAGATTGTTTGCAAGCGTGCGTCAGTTTCTACTGATTATTTTCGCAAAAACAGACCCATTGAATCCTAAACCAAATTTGAGACTTTATAGATCTGGTTTTGGACTCTTAGTCGAAACTCAATTTTGAAGCTTCCTAGTTTATAGGTGTCCTAGTTAATTAAATGTTCAGCAAAAAGCGAAATGAAATGTACGGTTTCTCATACGTAACTTAAATGTTTAAAACATGTTATAAACATGAAATAATTTTAAATCTTTTAACTATCCATGTCAACTGTGGAAATATCGACATATATGTTTGGGTTTTAATTTTAACTTTAAACGGAACCGTTTTTTACCCCACCACTTCCAAACAATTTTTTCACCGTACCTATCTGACTTGTTGAAAGATAACACTCTCAGTATCGTCACCAGAAATGAGTATCTAATACTCCCTAGCATAAGTTAATTTCAATTAAAAAAGCATTTTTAAGGAAAAATTATAACTACTACGGAAAGCTAACAACATAAACAAAAAAGATTTCCAGTACTAATGTACTAAAAATAGATATACAGCAATCATCACTCCAAAATAATACAGATACAAATCGTAAAAGTTCAAAACCTAATTTGTCTTTTATCTATACTCACAAAATACGCTATCTTGTTTTACTAATGTAGTTCTTCATAGCAGCGGGAGTGAGGCAAAATGTCTTCTAGGGTCATAATAAAGAGAGTATAATACGAAAACATTATGGAGCGTACAATCCATTTGGATAATTGGCAATTTGACAATACACAAATTAAAATTAAAATTGATACCACAAGTACAAACTACACGATTCAAGTTGTCACGGATGATGCAAAATCTGATTAATAACTGTTGGAAATTTTAATTTGTAAAATAAAATAATTAATTTAAAATTGAAGGATAAAATTAAGTTGGCAATCCTTCACATGCTTGGTGGTTATTTCCTATAAGTCAAGGGTTGTGTACTTATTTTGGATCCTTTTATTTCTACAAATGTTGCCTATAAATAGGTAAACTAGTGCAGGAATTCATTTTAACTTTTGCATTCCAAAATCCTAAAGAACATTCAATAAGTTGCAAATTGCATGTTCTTGTGTTCTTAAGTCCTAGAGGCAAATTGCCATTCAACCCTGTTTACAATATAGTGGGGGCAAATATTGTCTTAAGGACAGTGTTTGACACGATTAGAGCACTTTCAATTCTTTGTGAATTTCCTTTTGTTGTTGAATTTCAGATTCCATCAATAAAGTTTCTTTTCTCCATCTTTGTTCTTTGGTTCATATTGTGTTGTTTCTTTTGTTTCCATCCCCTGATTCCATCAATAAAGTGATCATTTGTCTATACGTTGATGATATGCTCATTGTTGGTACCACATTGAAAGGTGTGGTTGAGACTAAGAAATATCTTTCTTCTAAGTTCCAAATGAAGGATCTTGGTGAAGTCGATACTATCTTAGGAATTAAGGTTAAGAAGCATAGTGAAGGTTTTGTACTCTCTCAATCACATTATGTGGACAAGATACTAACAAAGTATCAACACTTGAATGTGAAGGAAGCATCTTCTCCTTATGATCGTAGCATGAAACTTTGTGTAAATAAGGGTAAACCAATTGCGCAACTAGAGTATGCTAGTGTGATTGGAAGCCTTATGTATGCTATGAGTTGTACAAGGCCAGATATCTCTTATGCAGTATGTTACCTTGCAAGGTTTACTCATTGCCCTGGTATGGAACATTGGAAAGCTATCACTAGAGTCTTGGGATATCTTAAAAGAACCAAAGATTTGGGACTCTATTATAGCCGATTTCCTAGTGTTCTTGAGAGTTATATTGATGCTAGTTGGATATCTGGAAGTAATGAGAAGAACTCCACCAGTGGTTGGTTGTTTTTACTTGGTGGTGGTCCTGTTTCTTGGGCATCAAAGAAGCAAATGCTTATAACTCATTCCACTATGGAATCCGAGTTTGTAGCTCTATCCTCAGCTTATAAGGAGGCAGAATAGTTGAGAGATCTTTTGTTAGATCTAGAAATTTGGCCAAAACCTATGCCATCTAACCTTACATTGTGATAGTGAAGCAACAATGTCTAGAGCATTGAATAAAGTGTACAATGGTAAATCTAGACATATCAGTATAAGACATGAATATGTCAGAGAAATGCTGAACAATGATGTTGTCTCAATTGTGTTTATTAGAACACACAAAAACTTGGCGGATCTGTTGACTAAACCTCTTACGAGAGAGTTAGTGGTTTCGACAACTCCAGAATGGGTTTAAAATCTTGTATCTAAAATTACTAACAATGGAAACCCAACCTTCTTCTAGTACTACCCCTAGATTGAAAGGTTTAAAGGGTAATAATAAGTTGTTTAGTAATTGGGGCACCAAATCATCGTATATACCATTCCAAAGTATTGGTGTATTATGTTGCTTTTAAGTGAGCAGGTTGAGAGCAATCTCTTAATGAAATTATTCATGATTATTCAATTACGGTAAAGTAATGAGTTTGAATAAATTTCACCTATTTGACCATAGAAGTGGTGCCGCTTCTAGCAAGAGTTTGAGGTTATCTCTTGTACATGGTCAAGAATCTAGATGAGCACATGGCCAGTAATAGTGCTAAATGGTAATGTGGATTACAAGGAATGCTATGAGTGTTTGCGCGTGAACTATCAAGTCTATACTAGACTGATTATTGATTTAAGCAACGAGCCACCAATAACTTACCTAGTTATGTGACTTAATTTCACTACGATGTGGTTTAAGACGAAATTCACCACCTCTTAAGCGCTATTTTCATGATTGTGTAATTATTTTATATTACAAACTAAGTGGGGAAATGTTGGAAATTTTAGTTTGTAAAATAAAATAATTAATTTAAAATTGAAGGATAAAATTAAGTTGGCAACCCTTCATATGCTTGGTGGTTATTTCCTACAAGCCAAGGGTTGTGTACTTATTTTGTATCCTTTTATTTATGCAAATGTTGCCTATAAATAGGTGAACTAGTATTCCAAAATCCTGAAGAACATTCAATAAGTTGCAAATTGCATGTTCTTATGTTCTTAAGTTCTAGAGGCAAATTGCCATTCAAACTTGTTTACAATCTAGTGGGGGCAAATATTGTCTTAAGGATAGTATTTGACACGATTAGAGCACTTTCAATTCTTTGTGAATTTCCTTTTGTTGTTGAATTTGAGATTCCATCAATAAAGTTTCTTTTCTCTATCTTTGTTCTTTGGTTCATATTGTGTTATTTCTTTTGTTTCCATCCCCCGATTTCTTTCAATAACAATTGAAGTTTTATCTCAATGAGTTCGTAAATCGTAACAGTGGAATTTTCCTTCATTATCATATTAAAAAATCTATCATTCCATATAGTAGCAGAACACTTCATCTACCATCAACTAAAAGTTGAATTAAAATATTTTTAGCCAACAAATACTAATCATAATCTTTAGCTATCACTCTTTTAAAAAAAAATTAAACAAAAAAAATAAAATAAAATAACGCGTTTTGATGGATCAAAAAGCCAACGAAATGATATTGGTTGGGTTGGTAAGTTGAGTGGGCCAAAATAACTTCTAAAGAAGTTGAGTCAAAATGGATCAACCACAGTCCATACCACCGGCCATCAATTGAACAATTTTAGCACATGTTTCCGTGTTCCATTATAGTAAAAAGTTCTCATTTAATGCTGCTACTACTAGCGAATAGAGATAAAGCTCTCAGATTTTTGTAATGTGAGAAAAAAATAAATAAATAAATTCTGTCTCGTTCGTATGTTTAATTGTATTAAGAACAACTAGATGCTTGGCCTGGACAGATGCCCGGGCGCCTCCTTTAAATTACTATTTTATTAAAATCTAATTGAATTACTATTTTTTGAGGAATTAGTTTGGCTTATATATCATTTATGGCTTAAAAAAATATACCTATAAATCTGAGGTTATAAGGGAATAATAAATAATTAGTTTATAAGGCATTATTCTTAATTGTTGGATTTAGGTATTTTTATTTTTTGTTTATATTAAGCCTGCAAAACTATACGATTGGACATTTGAATTTGAATTAATATATCCATTTGTTTGAAATGTAACTGATCCTTATTTGTAGTAAAACATGTATTTTTTTTTAAAAAAAAATTATATAACTTCTAATTAAAAGAGACTTACACGTGGCAAAAAGACTTCTGAAATCTGAAATATGGTGCATTGGAGCTAAAACATATGTATACGTAGTTGCCACATAAGCTTCATGTCTTCTGTTTTAATAGGATAAAAGGGATAGTTACTATGCAATAAATTTCAACTGAAAATCCATTTGATTTTTGAAAAAAAAAAGATTTTTATCAATCTAATTATTTTCTTTTCATGTGGTAAATTTATATCTTACCAACAATTTTTTTTTAACCACAAGGATCATTGAAAAAATAAATATAGAAAATGATGAAGACTTGCATTTAACAAGGGACCATACAATCATTTGATCATTATAAGGGATTGAAAACTTTGCATCGCAATTATTGTCATTATATGCAATAACTTTTGTCAATACAACTATTTAGTTGTCTTGAGATGGTTAGGGAAAGTCATTTTACTAATGAAACGATAAATAGTTGTTAGAGTAAGGATCGATCATGATTTCCAGTTTTACGAAGAAAAAAAAATGTTAACAACATCATGATGCATGATGTGATGACTATAAAAATCGTTAGAAAAAGAAGGCTCAAACAAAAAATTAAAGAAAAGAAAAGTGAAAGAAAATAGTATAGAGATCGGTGATACACTCAAATCTCATTGGAGGTATGTGAAAGTGACATCAAAATTGACGGTAAAGTTGTAATTTGCCAATATTTAATCACCAAACTACAAAATCCATTGATAAAGAAATATTAATCACTTTTACCATAATTGTTCAAGTGACTAATCACTTTTACTTGCTCCATGTAATGATAGGTTTAAAAACCTGATCTCTTTTTTTTTTTTTGGTATAGAAAAGAAGGCAAAAACCTAATCTTTTAATTAAGGGTAAATGGGTGCTTATCCGTTATCATCAATCATCATCTGTTCGGTAAAAATCTTTGTTACTATGTGTAACAAAAGATTCCCTAGTAAATAAAAAAAAAAAAAAAAGAGAGAGAGAGAATCAAATGGACGGAAAGAGTGATTAGAATCCCCAGATTCTATGCTTGAAATCGGCCAATGTTTGTTTTGAGTCCAGAATCCCAAAAAGTACCATTGCTCTAATGTTAAAAACTTAAAATAAGTTCCGCTGTATGTTAGAATTTCTGGTTAGGCAAATTCCCGATAGGAAAAGGTAACTTTGAAGTGTTGTTTGATTCTTTCAAGCTCTGCATCCAGTCAAATGGCCTTGAGGTGAGATCGATTTCAGATATCTTTACGCAACCCAGATAAAATTATTCTATTCTCTTTCATTAAATTAATTGTATACTTTTTGTTCTCTTTTAATCTTGCCCAGAGAATGCAATTCTAGCCTCAATTAATAAATAAATTCATGGAAGTCATCCATTGTTCCAATAAATTCTCCTCATTGACTTCCAGTGCAGCAAAACTGGAAAGAACAACAATATAGTGAGGACTTGAGGAATAAAAAATCCTACCCAAAAATAGTGATATGACAACCGCTCCTTCACCGCCGCCGGAGCAAGCAGCCGGCCGGGAAACCCCTCAACAACTACCAGTAACCACCGCTCCCGCCGCCAAAAAGGTACCAAAGAAACTCACCCTCATCCCTCTTATTTTCCTCATATACTTTGAAGTCGCCGGAGGCCCGTATGGGGAGGAGCCGGTTGTCCAGGCGGCCGGGCCTCTATTGGGTATTCTCGGTTTCCTCATCTTCCCGTTTATTTGGAGTATCCCGGAAGCTCTCATCACGGCGGAGCTCTCCACCGCCTTCCCCGGGAACGGCGGTTTTGTCATCTGGGCTGACCGGGCTTTTGGCCCCTTTTGGGGATCTCTGATGGGGACATGGAAATTCCTGAGTGGGGTAATTAACATAGCTGCTTTCCCAGCTCTCTGCATCAGTTACCTTGAGAAGCTTTTCCCCATTTTTGCTTCTGGGCTTCCAAGGCGTTTGGCCATTGTGATTTCCACTCTGGTTCTTGCGTTTGTTAATTACACTGGTCTTACTATTGTTGGATATGTTGCTGTGGCTCTTGGGTTGATTTCATTGGCACCTTTTATTTTGATGTCTTTTATTGCAATCCCCAAGATTCATCCTCACAGATGGAGTAGTTTAGGCCAGAAGGGTGTTAAGAAAGATTGGAATTTGTTCTTCAATACTCTGTTCTGGAATCTGAATTTTTGGGATAGTGTTAGTACTATGGCAGGGGAGGTTGAGAAGCCCCAGAAGACTTTTCCATTGGCACTTCTTTGTGCTGTGATTTTCACTTGTTTAGGTTATATCATCCCATTGGTGGCTGTAACAGGAGCACTCTCTGTGGATCAGAATTTATGGGAAGCTGGATTCATGGCAGATGCGGCGGAAATGATTTCTGGGAAATGGCTCAAAGTGTGGATTGAAATCGGAGCTGTTTTATCCGCAATTGGGCTGTTTGAAGCTCAATTGAGCAGCTGCGCTTACCAAGTGGAAGGAATGGCGGAAATCGGGTTCTTGCCCAAGTTCTGTCAGTTGAAATCCAAGTGGTTTAACACGCCGTGGATCGGGATCCTCTTGTCAACCGCCATTGCGCTTGGGATTTCTTTCATGAGCTATGAGTCCATCGTTTCGGCTGCAAATTTCTTGTACAGTTTGGGGATGCTTTTGGAGTTCCTGTCTTTCCTCTGGTTGAGGTGGAAAATGCCGACTCTGAAGCGGCCGTACCGGGTTCCGATGGGCCTGCCGGGGCTGGTGGTGATGTGCTTGATTCCGTCGGGATTCTTGGTGTTCATCATGGCAATCGCCACCAAGACGGTGTATTTGATGAGCGGATTGATGACCGTTGGTGGGATTGGATGGTATTTCGTGATGAAGTTTTTTAAGTCTAAGCAATGGCTCAAATTTAGCGACGGATATGTTGAAGAAGAAGATGAATGACTTATGGAAGAAGACAGTCATCGTGTTTTAGCAAGTTGCTGTTGTAGTTTAGTTTAGTTTAGTTCTTTTTTTTCCTTTTCCTTTTTGTTTTCTATGTGGTACCATTGTGCAAATTTATTCCTTTTGTGACATAAAAATAGTTTACTTTATTAAAATAACATAGCGTAATTTGATAACTAAATTATTCTTTTGGAACCGAAAAAGTTAATTACATTCAAATATATATCATCAGTTTGTGTTCCTGAGAAAGAGTGAAGATTCTTTATTTGTATGGTGGACGAGACAAGAATCTATTGGAATCAAATGACAGAGTCAGAAGGATGTAATGTAAAAGAACCAAACGTGTAGAAAAAAATTTCTCTATTGTAGGCAATTTGTGTGGAATGTGATGTTATATTGTTATGGGTTATGCTTGCACACTTGTGATTTGACTCTATTTAATATAGTTTTTTTTTCCCAAACGCAAAATTTCTTAATTTTAGTTTTCAAGATAAAATTACTATATTTTTCGTAAGACACTGATATGTCAATACGAATGTCAAAATCTAAAGTAAAAGGTTAGAGTATTGATTGTAATATACCAAATTTAAAGCATTGAAGCATTGAAGAAGCCTTTAAAGGTAATATTTTCTTTTAAGTTTGTTTTAAGTTATAGTTTGAAGTACTCAGACAATGTCTGAGTAAATCCTTTGTCTGAATCAAACATTTGGCTTTTGTTTACATAAATTATACATGGAAGCTCTATCTCCTTCTTCTCTTTTAATTAAAATACGATGATTTGAGATTGGTTCCAATCCCGAGTTCATCGGAAAACTCAACAATAAGTGCATTGGGTGGAAAAGTACCGCTATGATGAATTGTGTAAGGGAAAAGAGGCCACATGATGCACAATAAGTTGTGAATTCCAGATGAGCTTGAGAGTTGGGTGAAACTTTTCCATGCATCTCGATTATTGATATTTTAATTAAGGATGGATAGAGATTTTGATCCTCGTAGAGTGGCCGACAAGGCATAGCTCCGGATGAATGGTATCGCCAGGGTGGTGGTTTGGATTCCGGCCTGGTTTCCTGCTCGTCTGTTTGCTCAGTTTTACTGGCTAAGATAAGCACTCGGCCAGCCCCACCCCCACGCCAACTTGGTATCGTAGCGGTTATGTATTTTTATGTTTACAAAAGATTTGTTTGATTCGAACCTAATTTAAAAATGAATAATTTAGAAAGTACTTCAATAAAAATTCATTCAAGAGGAATATGATATGCCTCAACAACTTGCTCTTCTTAATAAGTGGTCAATACCAAAGGTACCCACTAATACTTTGTATGAATATGGTATGTTTGATCGATACTTGGTTAAACAGTAGTTAAAACTACTGAACAATCAATTGCTTTAAATTCGATGAAAGAGTTTTACAACTTTTGTCTCTACTGAGATATTGAATCTTATAGATCTCATAAAAATTATAAGTTCATGCATATTGGATTGGTGCAAATTGCATTTAAACCTTTAACTTTAGAAGGTTTACTCGAATCTTTTGTTGCCGCCTTACGTGATGGTAGAAATTTACATTGGAAAAAATCCCTAATGGGCATAATACATCCACCTAGCTCATGGTCCAGTTTATTTTAATGTCTACCCAAATTTACAGCTATCATTGTCTGATGTTAATATACTCGATGCTTTAACCTTAAATGTGAAATTACATGGTTACAATTATTTACCGGGAAGTGAACTTATTTGTTTACATTACCGTATTTGTTTTAAATTATTAAATACCTTAACACCCGGATGTAAGATTATAAGTAAACCATCCGATGAAACCATATTGATAGAAACTAATTTTTATAAATCTCAAATTAGTACTCGTAAAACTATAAAATGGGAAGAAATTGAATTTCCAGAGTCTTGGCAAATTGATAAAGGAATTACAAGAAACTCATTAACTCATAATGTTACAAGTTGTAATGTTACGAAATTGAACAATCGATAATGGTCGATAAGTATTACTTTTGATAAACCAAAAATTCCTAAATTACTAAGATCCATCTCTCAAAGATCTTTTAAATCTTATATAGATCCAACGATTCTCATAAATTTTCGACATCTTCGATTCTGAAATAGATCTAACAAATAGAATAAATCAAGTAAAATTGATCCATATAATATTGTTCGGTCTGCTGATAGTAAGACATTTGATAAGGATATGCCTTCACCTTCGAAATGGGTTATCATGGCGAATCTTGAAAAATTAGATTTTAGTCCAGGATCTAATATTAGACAAATAATAAGACAAGATTTCAATCGAAAAGTGGAAACTTTTCAGAGAATGGTTCTTTTCTACTTATGATATTGAAAATCAAAAACTTATACAAAAAGAATTTTATGAATATGCTTCTTTTCACAATCAAATAATATATTTTGTCCCGTGGTTTATAATCACTTATCTTGATAAATATATTTTCCTCCTAGAAAGAGAATATCATCTTGCAGATGGCCAAATTACAAAAGGAATTTACCCTCCCCAAAAAGAATTTGTTTTAACAAATGCAACTCATATAACTTTTTCTGCCTTTCAAAAATTGGTTGAAAGTGAAGTTTTACCTTCTACTGTTTCTTTAGTAAATAAATTTATTCAGCAAAATAATTATACAAATTTATATGTAAAAATTTTAGGAGAACAAATTAATTCTTTACATGATAAAGTTGACAAACTATTTTCTCTTATAAACAATCTTCAACAAACAGTTAAACCAGTTTTAATTGAAAACAAAAATAAAGATATTAAAATACAAAATTTTATACAACCTCCTCCTATAGTAAAAGATTATAATCTTGAATCTCCACATGTATTAGAAAAATTATTAGAAGAAAAATTTAAAAACCTTAAATTATCCACTTTAGAATTTTCTGAGAATATACAGAAAGATTTTGATAAAACTTTACGAGATGAAATAAATCGTCTTTCTCATAAATCTAGACATAATAAATTTGCTAATAAACCATATATGAATCATTATTATTACCCTCGACCTTCTCCACAAGATCTTCTTTATGAAGAACATCAAGAAACTACTAATAGTTATAGTAGTCGTTCGTTTATGAATGGAATTGCGACGCATTTACCGATAGGCAATTAACTAATATGGTGCATAGGATGTTAATGTACTCCTCGGTTGCAAAAGCAAATGGTAATACGATCGTGCAATCGCAAAATGATTGTTTGTGGTTTTACTGGTGTCCTTAAAGGATGGTGGGATAATTATTTAACTGAAAATGATAGACAAAAATTTATAATACAGTAAAATTGAGAATGAAGGAACATCTACACCCATTATGATGGAAGATGCAGTATATACTTTGATAGCATCTATATTAGAACATTTTTCGGAAAATTTACTAATAATCAAGAAAATATTCGAACATTGTTGAATAATTTTAAGTGTAAAACACTTACTTCTTTTAGATGGTATAAAGATTCATTCTTATCAAGAGTCATGGAATTACCGTAAAGTAATAGCTCTTATTGGAAAGCCAAATTTATAGATGGCTTACCAACTCATTTCTTGAACGAATAAGAAAAGTTCTTAGGAAAGATTTTCCTTACATTCCTTATGATGATTATACTTATGGTCATTTAATAGGTGTTTGTACACAAGAAGGATTAGCTTTATGTAATGAAATAAAGTTAAATCAACAAATTAAAAGACAACAATTATCAGAACGAAAACAATTAGGTCGATTACGTGATCAATTTGCTATGGATATTGGGCCAGAAAATAGGGATAAAAGAATGAAGAAAAATAAAATTCCTTATATACCTAAAGGAAAACGACGACGTAAAAGAACAAAAGAACAAAGAGAATTTAGAAAAATTAATAGAAAAAATAAAAGAGACATAAAATGTTTCAAATGTGGTCATAAGGGTCATATTGCCCTAATTGTAAAAGATTAATAGAATTAGATTATTAGAAATAGATGAACAACTTAAAGAACAAATATGCAAAGTAATAGAAGAATCGATATCGAGTCAAACGAAAGAAACTAATAGCTCAGAAAATAATATGCTTGAAAATGATGAATATTCATCTAGTTCTTCGGATGAATGTCTTCCATGTCAAAATAATAATAATAATGATTGTTGTAAGGATAATAGTCTTTACAATATTATATCTCAATTTCAAGATTTACAATTTAACATGTTAACAACTGATAATGTTTTAGAATTACTAAAACAAATACCAGATCATGATATTCGTGATAAAATAATTAAAATGATAGATGTGTCTAATAAAAAAGAAAAGGAAGTTAATAAAAAGGATATAGTTTTCAATAATAATCCTTATTCGATGCAGGAAATAGAAAAAAGAATGAAAAAATTACTAAATAAAGAAGAATCATCTTCTTCAGTTATAACTATTTCAGACTTACAAATAGAAGTTCATAATATAAAGAATGAAATAAAATATTTGAAACAAAATAACGAATTATTAGAAAAAAGGATTAAAACAATTGAGTATTCACAATCAGGTGAAAACTCTATAGTTGATCCACAAACTCTTCAGAATTTAGCTGAAAATATATCTGAAGATCATAATTATGAATTCCTAAAAACAATACAAATAATTACATCTCAAAGATGGTATATAAAATTAACTCTAATGATAGATAGACAATTTGTCTTAAACACTGTTGCAATGATTGATAGTGGTGCTGATTTGTCTTGTGTTCAAGAAGGGTTAATACCCACGCAATATTTTGAAAAAACCTCGCATGCATTAAAATCCGCATCTAATCATACATTAGATATTTCATATAAATTGCCTAATGCTTTTGTTTGTCAGGATAATATTTGTCTTCCACAAACATTTTTATTAGTAAGAAATATGCCAGGAGTGCCTATTATATTAGGACTTCCATTTTTATGTATGTTATATCCACTCAAAGAAGTTAATTTTCAAGGTTTTACAGGAACCTATAAAGATAAATCAATAAATTTCAGTTTGTCTCGGACCGATAACAAGGTCTATTAGGTCATTAATAGAAGCTAAAGAAAAACAATTATTTTTCATTAAAAAGAAATTATGAATTTATCAATACCGAATTAATGAGTAATACTAAATTACAAGAAAAATAAAACATATTACAATACAATTTCAAGAATCGTATGTGCTGATCACCCAAATGCTTTTTGGAACAGAAAGAAACATTTAGTTAATCTTCCTTATGAAGATAATTTTAATGAAAAGGATATTCCTACTAAAGCAAGACCATGTCAAATGAATTCTGTATATATGAATTTATGTAAAGAAGAATTACATTCTTTGCTTCAAAAGGGTTTAATAAAACCTTCACAATCTCCTCGTCATGTATCGCATTTTATGTTAATAATGCAAATGAAAAGAACGTGGCGTCCCAAGATTAGTAATAAACTATAAGCCACTTAATAAAGTTTTAAAATGGATAAGAT